AAACGTATTAATAATCGAATTAACTATTAATATAAATTATGTTTTCCGAGGACTATGAAAAAGGTCCTCGGAAGGTGTGTATGTCCTCGGAAGTAGCTATATATCTGTATTTTTGTCCTCGCAACATATAGCAATCCAAGTACACACACACACACACACACACACACATACAGACACACTAACTGCAAAGACTCCCTTTCTGTGCTTCGCACACGGGAGTCAACAACTGATTGATTGATCCGATCCATCATTGTGAATGAATACAAACAAAATTGCTTCAACTTTCACAATATCATATCATACATACACTGTCAGTTGACTAAAGTTGTCTGTGTTTTTTTTTTACCAAGAAACGAATCTATAAATACATAATATACTTACCAATAACAACTCAGAAATCTTCACGCTGACGAAAAACAAAATGGCGACCATAACAAAAACAATTGCACTCGCGTAATCTTGCACATGTTACAACGAATTTGATTGGCTGCTGTTTTTCTCGTAAATTGTGACACTGGAACGAGAGTTCCTATGTTCAGATCCCGGTGGCTTTCACGAACAAAACCATTCTTGCAGCAAAATAATTGTAACGTCAAAAAATAATTAAAATAAATAATAATTATAATAGTAATTATATAAAAAAAAAAAAAATAAAAATAAAAAAATAAGCCAACCAAGATCTTATTTTAATGAGATTGGTGCTGGTTACTCCATAACAACTATTCACTAATGTAAGATACTTACAATGCCTTTTCTTATAACATTTTCTTCTTGTCTTCTCAGCATGCAGATAATATACAATAAATTAACATCTAGAAGATACAGTGAGCTGCAAATAAAAGCATTATATGTCAGTATGGCAATATATGTTGTCACTAGTGAGTTGGTAATACAACACTAGAAATAATTTGTTGATAAAACTAGCCAATGTCACAGTTCTCTATATTATTTCAATATTATACTAGAAATGGATCATATCAAACTATTGTACATTAAACTAAAAACTGAAAATGTTTCAATATCTATATGTATTTATGAAAGATGTCATTTTCAATATATGTCTGATGGAGTACCCACAGAATACAGGTGACATGACAGATGTCATTTTCAATATATGTCTGATGGAGTACCCACAGAATACAGGTGACATGACAGATGTCATTTTCAATATATGTCTGATGGAGTACCCACAGAATACAGGTGACATGACAGATGTCATTTTCAATATATGTCTGATGGAGTACCCACAGAATACAGGTGACATGACAGATGTCATTTTCAATATATGTTTGATGGAGTACCCACAGAATACAGGTGACATGACAGATGTCATTTTCAATATATGTCTGATGGAGTACTCACAGAATACAGGTGACATGACAGATGTCATTTTCAATATATGTTTGATGGAGTACCCACAGAATACAGGTGACATGACAGATGTCATTTTCAATATATGTCTGATGGAGTACCCACAGAATACAGGTGACATGACAGATGTCATTTTCAATATATGTCTGATGGAGTACCCACAGAATACAGGTGACATGCCAGATGTCATTTTCAATATATGTCTGTTTGGAGTAAATACCTGTAAACACTTGGCA